TTCTTTGTTTTACTTTTCTTTTTTATTTCTATTTGAGACCTTTTATGATTTTTGCCCCTAGTATGAAAAGTGATCCTTAGTCAGGGTTCTTTAGAAAAAAAATTATAACAAGCTCAAAGGGGTAACAATGAATGGTTTTTCTAATGGTAAAAGAAAGATGGCCAATTTTCATCTCAATTGTGAATGCTTTCTTTGAAGATCATATTTTGAACAAAGATAAACTGATTAAATGCCTTTAAGACATGCATATTTTTCATGAATGATTTCTGCTCACAAATTACCTTTTTTGCTCAAATAATCTCTATAGATGAATATGAATGAGTTTTTAAAATTAAATCCCAAAATTATTGTTTATCATTGTCCAAACATTTACCATTTGAAATTTGAGAATGAGAATAAAATGGGTATGAAAGGTAACAAAAATAATGACTTGGATGCAAGAGAAAATGTAATGAAATGCATCAACTTGCCTTTTATTAAAATGATAAAAAGTGAAATCTTATTACATAAAAAAAATCTTAGCATTTCTCTAAAAGAAATCCAAGCAACTTTTAGCCAATACCAACATCTTTGTCTTCCCTAAGACTATGTCCCTGTATGATCAAGTAAAGGATTTTTACTGCTATCAGATTTTTCTAATTCATCGAAGCTTACCAAGCTTTTTAGATCAAACTTTGCATCTTGTGCTTGAAAGTAGGGCAAGTTTCTATAGAATTGCCTACATTCTCATTTTGGTAATCGCATGTGGCATTAGCATCATACCATTGGGGATAAGATGGCTTTAATGGTTCTAGAATAAGAGGAGATACTAAGTTATTTTTAACCAATTCTGAGAATAACTCAATGTAATTCATGGGGAAAGGGTCAATGTGTGCCATTTCTTAATTATTTTAGGATCTCTTTAAACCATCCGCTTGGTTATTAGGCATTGAATCTGGTGTAGTAATAGGACTGGGCCTATACGTGGGTGTTTGAAAAGTTGGTCAAAAGACTAGGTGTGGAACAGGATGGTAAGAGACTGGTGCAACATGATTAATGGTCAGATAATAGGCAAGATATACTGACTGTAGGTATAGGGCATAACTTTTGAACTGTTATCCTTCAAAACTCATAACTTGAGCTTCACTTTCTTTTCTTTTAGACATCCCACCCTTCTTTGTATTTAAGTTCTCTCCCTCTTTAAGCTTGTTACTCTTAATGGCATTATCTATCATTTCTTCAGAGATCACTATATCGGTAAAATTTTTTATGACATTCCAATCATTTTCTCATAATATTGAGGCTTTAGAGTACTCACAAATAAAATGATCATTTTTTTCAGTGAGAGGTGGTTGAACTTGAGTAGCTACATCTTTCCATCTCTGTGCATACTCTTTGAAGCTTTCAGAAGGTTTTTTTTCCATACTTTGTAGAGATAGATGATCTAGAGCTAAGTCTATAATGTGTCGATATTGAGTGATGAATGCCTTTGCCAAATTGTTCCAGGATTGGATGCAAATTCGATCTAACTGGACATACCACCTCACGGCTGAGCCAGTGAGACTATCTTGAAATATATGCATCAATAGTTTCTCATCATTAGCATAGGTAGTCATTTTACAGCAATACATGGTAACATGACTTATTGGGCATTTTATCCCATCGTATTTTTCAAATTCGAAGACTTTAATTTTTGGTGGGATGACCACATCTGGCACTAAGCATAGTTCGGTGGCATCTACAGAGCCAAAATAATCCATTCCTTCGATAGCTCACACTCTCTCTTCTAAAAGGTTCATTTGTTGTATACTCGGGTCTTCCATCACCTAGAAGTTTTCATCTTTAATCTCTTTTTCTCTTTAAGATCATCAAAATTAGGGTCTTTAATTGGATCACGTGCCTTGGCCCTAAAGGTAAGGTTAGTGTAGCTATGAAATGGCACTTCAGGATATGCCTAAAAAAATGGCATCTGTGGGGCTTATGTATTTTGAGGAGATTGGCCTTAATTTAGGTCAAGCCTAGAAAAGTGTAGAAGATCCACAATATCTTACCTTTCATTCAAATAAGGGGTCTCTTCTACTGTCTTACCCTTATCCAGTTTTTTTAACATTTTCATCATCTTTGTCAACTCCTCCTTTATCTCTTCCTGAGCCTTCTCAATTTTATCCATATGAGTATTTTGTTCATGTTCCATTTACCTTGCCTGTGATTGAGTATTATATGGATAACATGCAGGTTGACTTGAATTTGTCGATGGTCGAGCTACCCTTGAACCTTTGATTACCACAAATTAAGATGCTTGTATTACCACATGCTCATGTCATGAAAGTAGGACTATAAAAATAATTTTAACATGATTTCAAGTTAACACCTGTGAAATGAATGCCAAAAATATATGCAGCCTAATGTTATCTTGCTTTAATAAAAAAAAATAGATGAAAGACAATTCATACAACATGACAACAACAGCTAATTTTCACTCAAGAAAAATCAATCATTGTAAAAATGTAACTTAGCTGTTGGATTTTTCTATGAAACGGGAAGGTAAGGCTTTAACTACAGGTTAGGTTCCTTATGCTCACTATATGTGGTTTAAGGCTGATAGTCTAAAGGTTCTCAAATTGCTCCTTACATCATTATCTATCACAGACTAGTAGGCACCCCAATCCTCACCCATTACAGGCTACAAGTGGAAAAGATTCAATTTGAGTAAAAGTATTTCACTAGCCACTGCAGAGGCATTAGAACCTCATGAAAGCACAGGTACTTTACTCCTTCCTAAAAGGATAGAGCTCGGGTATAGAGCTCATGTTATGCATATGCATATGAATGACATAATTAGCAAAGTAAATAAATAGAATGAATGAATGAAAAATCTCTACAAAAAGTTCAATTTTATTAGGCTTTTGGAACACATGAATTTATTTGCTGCCTGACTCTCAACTTATCCCCAGCAGAGTCGTCAAACTGTTATAATATATAAATCCATAAATTTATAACTAAACATTAACTTAAGGAATTTCCACCAATCTTTTTATTTAGGTGCGATTGGTTACCTCATTGAATTTGTCCCCTTTAAAGAGGATTCCTAAGTTCGACTTAAGTATTTCTAAAAGGTAAATTCAATATCTATGAAACCAGAACTAAGTTTGGGAGTTCAGTTACAGTGAGAAATGTTACAGCACCCTCACAACACCCATCAAAATATGGTACCAGTTCAATTTCGTGTTATCTATTAGGTCTTAAAAATTTTATCAAGTATTTAATTATTGAAAATTATCCTTAATTGACTCTAATACTTTTGGCAAAAAATTAAGAAAATTCTCTCACTTCAAGAGTATACAAAAAAACTATTGTTTCACTTGCAGAAGCTCCATTGTCGGATTATTTTACACTAAAAATTTTCAAGAAGTATTGGGACTTTCAATTTTTCCTCGAACAGACATTTCCTGAAAGTTTTATTTTAAAGGAAAGTTGATACTCTCAACTTTCCCTCCAAAATATACCTTTTTAAAAATTTTATTTTTAAGAAAAATTGATACTTTCAACTTTTTCTCAAAATATTTTTTTGAAAGTTTTATTTTCAAGGAAAATTGATACTTTCAACTTTTCCTTAAAATTACTTTTTTTGAAATTTTTATTTTCAAGAAAAATTGATACTTTCAACTTTTCTTCAAAATGCTCTTCGAAATTTTATTTTTAAGAAAAATTAATACTTTTAACTTTTCCTCAAAAATATTTCTTTTTCTTGAAAATTTAATTTTAAGAAAAATTGATACTTTCAACTTTCTTAAAAAAAATTTAGAATTTTATTAAAACAAATTATTGAAAATTTAAGGATGTTTAATTAAATAAATAAATTAGCTCAATTTAGTTAATAAATAAATAAAATAAAAATAATAATAATAATCAATAAATAAATAATAGAGAGAAGGAAAAAAAAAAACCTTTGGCGGCTCAGCTGAGCGACTCAATAGGGACATGGCTCCAGAAACGAACTCAGCTAGAACGGCTTAGAAGTAGCTCAACTTAATGGCTCAACAACAATTGAACGACATAGGTTGACGGGTCAGAAAGCTGTAGGTCGAGTTGGATCTTGGCAAAACACGTAGACCCTGCTTAATTGCTGACTCAAAATGACATCATTTAGCTTGCGTATAAAAGGCAAAAATTTTTCTTTCCCTCAGATGCTTCCCTACAGTCTTCTCTCTTCTCTTTATTTTCTCTGTGTCTCTCTCTAGGACGTAAAGAACTCCAGTGAAACTTGCCAATTTCTAGATCTTTACCATCGAAAAACTGGGTTTTGGCCAAAGTATCATTGGAAAACTTGAATTATTGTCAAAAAATTCAATCTGATTCTGGAATTTCCAAAAAATTTTTAAAAAATGACAAAAAATCTCAAAAAAAAAAAAAAATCTTCCAACCACAACAATAAAATCACCATAAACTACTTCAGAAAACTAATCCTCCTCAAAAAATTTTAGCCTCCGATTCCTGCCACTTCTCTCTGTTTCCTTTTTTGTATTTCTCCGTGTCTTTGCTTTGTGATTGTTGGCTCTTATATAAGGCTCTTCGATGGTTCAAATCAAAATCATCTTATTTTTTTATTTGATATCCCTTTTTTTAAAAAAACTTTTTTATCTCAATTTCAAAATTGAAATTCCTTTATCTTAGAGTTCTAATAAGATTGAAACTCTACCTTTATCAATTCATCGAAAAACTTGGTTCAAAAAAAGGAAAAGAAAGAGAAAAAAAAAATGGGTGTCTACATAGACTTTTTTTTGCAAGTGTTAATATTTTATTGGATGCTCATACTACGTTAGAAAAATTAATTAACGGTATCAGTTTCTGATACTAACGTAATAATAGATTTGAATGTTCAAGTACCAATGTGATAAAAAAAATTTTTAAATACTAATATGATAAAAGTTATAAAATTCATAAACTAAATATGTATTTAACCCTAATATCTTTTATAAGTATAATATCAGAATTATTAAGTGCTACTTTAGCTCTTTAGGAAAAAGATGTTAAGAGGGATTTAGCTTACTCTACAATGTCCCAACAACGTTTTATGATGGTAGCTCTAGGTATGGGGTCTTATCGAGCCGCTTTATTTCATTTGATTACTCATGCTTATTCGAAGGCATTGTTGTTTTTAGGATCCGGATCCATTATTCATTCCATGGAAGCTATTGTTGGATATTCTCCAGATAAAAGTCAATTCCTTTTATCAGCATAATGACTGAGAAGGACCCGGACTTGGCCTTCCTAAAAACAATCACAGCACGGTTCCAATCTATTAGTTAGTTAAAAGATTTATAACTCATATATCATATTATAGATTTTTAACATTTCATTATAATTCAAGACATTAATCCAAAAAATTAATATAGTGCAGAAAACCCATAAAAACTAGAATACTGGAAAAAAAATTCTAAAGAGTCAGGTATCAAAAAGTCCAGACTATAGCTTCAGCTTGAACAACAGTCCACAACATACATATGCATGAATTGATCACCTTATCATTGATAAAACATAGTTGAAGTTAGAAGGTTACTTGATCAAAACGAGTCCATGATGACCGAAGGTTTAAAAAGAAAGAAAGAAACCATTGTTTATTCTGCAAGCCTCCAGTTTTGCCCCCAATTATCTTCAGTAGATTAATTTCACAGCTTGAAAGGTGATAGTGAAGAGTTACCATTAAGCCCTTTTGAATAGTAGTTTGACAGATAGTCCTTAACCAAGACATCTCTGTAGATTGGAGGGTTTTCTTCTGATATCAAATCCTTGATTGGTCCATAAAGTCTTGATGCCTTTCCAGGATTATCTTCTATTGTCAAAAAGCATGCCACGGATATTCTTGGGCCTTCATTTTTCGCCAAGACCCTGTGATTAACGCTTTTGAACTTGTCATTGGAAAGAAGCTGCACTCAAACAAGAAATAGATCTGTTTATATTTTCTGATACATTCCATCTGCATTGGCTCAATTCCAATAATTAAAACAGAAGCTATACAAATATCAAATTGTTTACTCTAATTATGTTCACAATGGTAAGGCACATCATCAGATACAATATCCAAGATTCTGGAGATGGACTTGCCTGTAGAAAATCTCCAATATTTACTTCCAAAGCTCCAGGAATGCATGGAACATAAACCCACTGATTCTCATGAAGAATTTGTAGGCCGCCCATTTGATCTTGCAGAAGTATGGTGATAAGGCTACTATCTTTGTGATTGCTAGTTCCCAATGTTAATTCTGGTTCAGGGCATTTAGGATAATAATGGCCCATGAGGAGCAGTACATCAGCACAATCCAGATCTTTAAGGCAGCCAGGGTTGAGCCCAAGAGCCTCAGATAGCAGTTCAAACAGTATAAACCCCAATGTCGTCACTTGCTTGGAGTAATCCATCACTATGTCTCTGCAAGGTGATTTGTAAAAGAAAATTCTAGCAAGAGCTAGCACAGGGATGGAATGAAACCTTTCTCATATGATAAATGACTAACGCTTACCTGCAAACTTCGGGCAATTCTGAAGGGTCAGGTGGATTAGGAGCCATCAAACAACCCAAACTGTCCCTCCAGTTAGCAGCTTTTGACTTGTACAAATCATAGTTGCTTAGATACAACGCCTTTCTGCGAGTTGTGTCACGGGTATAGAACTCTTTCTTCACCTCGGTGTCTTGTTCATGAAATCTACGTATCCCATCAATCATCTCATCCAAAACACTTCCAGGAATTCCATGGTTAACCACCTGAAAGAAACCCCACTTCTCACAAGCAATCTGAACTTGCTCAATTACCTCAGCACGCAGAGTTAAGTCCTCCCTGATACCTTGGAGATCTATGATTGGGACACTGAACTGATGAGAAATGACACAACTCGAGTTGTTTTCGAGGATAAAGTTCTGATCAATGAACATAAAAGGAATTTTGGTCATCCCGGAATCTACTATTCCCTTGACACCGGCTTTTGTATCATCAAAAGCCTTCACTTCACTTTGGCTGTCGTAATCAGGGTTAGAATCTCCTTGAACTTCTCCAGTTTTTGTGCCCATAATTTTTTTTGTTTGTCTGTGTGAAATTGTTAACCTGCTTTAAAACATAATGAACTCTCTCCAGTGCCAGTCAGATAAGAAGACAGCAACCGTTCCAGAAAGTCCACAACCACATTTTCCTTGCCTTGACTAGTCAAAGTGGTCATTATTAACCAAAAAAATCCATATGGCTACCTAAATTATCAGTCTGATCATTCACGGGTCCATACAAAGAATATATGCATGTAACTCATCCAAGAGGGATGAATTTGCAGCCATCCTTCTAGGAAATTGCATCCATGACTTTTGTGAGATCTCATTATGACTTTTTTTGTTTTAAATCATGATGATGTTACTTTGATTAATTTATGGGTTGTCCGTGTTAAGAAATTTAGCGGAGACAAATTGTACTTTGTTGTTGTTGGATAGGAAATTTAGGAAACTTTATCTATGTACTGTATATTTATTTTCACTTTGAATTAAAATTAGTGTGTACTTTTTGCTCAAAAAAAAAAAAATGGTGTGTACTTTCCCTGGCAAAGAAAATTCTTCTCCCTCTCTGTGCCCTTTGTTCCGTTTTCTTTCATTATTTTAGGGTAATTATCAAATCACCGTATCCTACACTTTCTCGAAAATATTACATAATTACTTATTCATTTTCTATTTTTTTCTTATTTATTCATTTCAATTTAGAAGTGTTCATGAATAATGTCAGACTAATCTTAAATGTCAATTTTTAAATTTTACTAAAATTAATATGATCCGTTCATTTAAGTCTGAATAGACATGATATTATTCATAATAAAATTAAAAAATTATATTAATATTTTTATATTTTTAAATATATTTTAAAATTAACTATAAAGTAAAATTAATTTTTATTAATAAAATAATAATTCATATGAGATAAAATTGAAGCTGAATTTAAAAATTCATGTGCAGTGCTCCACCTACATCAGGCTTGGGCCAAGAGTTTAACGGACAACTTGATTTATGGACATGTCTATTTCATCTTTATTAAAAGTAAAAAAATAAAATAAAATAAAAAATAATAATAAGATTCTATGTTTTCATTAAATAACAAATCAAAAATAAAAACACATTGAGAGATAGAATAAAATGACAAATTTCAACATACGCAGGAAAAAAAAAAAAAGGTAAAGCCTCCTTTCTGCCATAAAAATTTCTTCAACTTTCTTATTTTTAGTTTAATTTAATTTGATTTATTAAATATAATTTTCAGTGTAATTAAATTAGTGTTATTAACAAATTAGTAGCATTTAAGTTCAAATTTTTCATTTCATGCAATCTATGTAGACTTGAATTTATGAAAAAGCACAGATTTCAAACATTTAAGGTTCATCAGTTCAACAAATAAACAACACTTGCTTTTAATTGGTCAAGAATCAAAGTTTTCATGACCAACTTTTACCAAAAAAGATGAAAATTATTGAACTAATATCATATGCTGCTGCTGATGTACCTCCATGGCGAAGTTTAGAGCTTGAAATGCAGCAGGGCAGAAGTACCATCAAGGCCTTTTGCCATGAAGTAAGTAACATATTCTCTCACAGTGGTTTCCCTGTATTTTGGAGGATTTTCTTCTGATAACAACTCCTTAATTGGTCCATAAGGTCTTAAATCTGGCAGAAGAGAAGTGCTGAAAAAGCATGCTACTGATACTCTTGGTCCTACAGAATTTGCCAGTACTCTATGCTCCGCACTTGTAAAAGCATCGTTTGATATTAGCTAAAAGAAGTAAAACAATTACAAATTAGCTGCAAAACCTGGTAATTCTGACAGAATTGCCGAGCATCACAAAATTAGAAAACAAGAACAACAAAAGATGCCCATGTATGGATTCCCGGTAATATAACTATACCGGTCAGACACATCCGATCTGAAAAAGAAATGATTAAAATTTTAATAAAAATCATATATATTTAAAAAAATTTAAAAATGCATTTTTTGTTTTTTATATCAACATCAATTGTGACATATAATTTTGTGTAAAACATGCATAATATAAATACACAAATTGTCAGTATTTTACTTGAGGGATTGTCGTATCTAAATATAACTAACAAAAATAAAGAATAAAGGCTTGCCTGTAGAAGATCTCCGATGTTAATCACTAGAGCCCCAGGAGTTGGGGGTATATCAACCCATTGGTTGTCATGAAGAACTTGGAGGCCACCAATATGGTCTTGCAGAAGCACCGTGAGGAAGTCATCGTCAGAGTGCTTGGTTGCACCCAGAGTGAGTTCTGGCTGTGGACATGCGGGGTAATAATGTGACAGCATAGTCAGCCCTTTAGCACAGTCCATGTCTTTCAAATGATCAGGCTGCAACCCTAGAGCCTCAGACAGTAACTCAAACAACAAATAACCCAAATGCATTACATGCTTTGAGTACTCCATCATTATATCTCTACAATACCAATAACTTAAGCACATAAGTGGTCATTTTAAGTACATCAATTTAGATATCGAATCAATGAACCACACAGGCAGACAGCATGTAGATTTCGGTTACAGATTTGTGATTGAAAATAAAGAAATGAGATGAGAGTTCTTATGGTTAGGAAAGCAATTCTACCGCATAATCCCATCCCTTACTCTTTTTTCATGGTACATTCATCCCTTGGTCCTTCATTTGTTTAACTACAGAGTAGTAAAATCATGGTGAGTTGAGGTGTTTAATTATAATCTGCAGTAACTACAACTGCTGCAGATTAAACATCAAATTTTTTTCCTTTTAGTATTTGAGGTTATCACTAGTGAAATTCTAATAACTGAAACTAAAAGTTTAACATTCTATCAACAGATCACACGACTGTCAACTAAACATCAAGATATCATAAGATTTTCCAGTTGGTAAATTAGGAGTGTAGCTCTAATTTAACTCGGAATTGTGGCTGCGTGAATTAGATTGCGACAGACCAATGGAATGAAAGCCTAGCACGACCAGAGGATACAACAAATCAACTCCTCAGCAAGACAGATGTCGACATTTTATTCTACACACATTCTGGCACTCCTTCAATTGCTCTTTCTTTTTTTTTTCTTGGCATATTTTCACCTTAACAGTTAACAGTGCTATCTCCTTGTGAATTATACAGAACATAGGACTTGTATACCTGGATACCTCTGGTAACTCTTCTGGCATGGGAGGATCGGGAGCCATTAAGCTATAAAGTGTATCTCTCCAGTTGGCTGCTGGTGAACTATACAGATCAAAATTGCAATTGTAGGCCACCCTTTTGGTATAATCCCGAGCGTAGAACTGCTTTTTCATCTCCAAATCTTGCTCAAAAAACCTTCGTACACCATCCTTCATCTCCTCCAGGACACTCAGAGGAATTCCATGGTTCACAACTTGGAAGAATCCCCATGATCTTGATGCATTCCGAACTTTCTCAACAATCTTCTGACGAGCACCTTGATCTTTCTTCACTCCCTCAAGGTCTATAACAGGAATACTAACCTGGATGCCACCTGAAACTGAGTTCTTCTCAAAATGGTCTGGAAGTGGGTGGAATATCGGAGGAACCTCTTTAACTCCAGCATCAACAAGTCCTTTAACTCCAGCTTTGGTTTCATCTAAAGCTTTCAATTCACTTGTTCGATCATATTCAGGCTTAAGTTTGGTGAACTCCATTTTCTTCCTCCGTTTGCAAGTTTCAACAAAAAGAAAAGGAAGCGTGATGCTTTTAGATAGTGATGAAAGTGAAAAGTAAGGCAATGATAGAAGAAACTTTTGACTTATATATTTGAGTTTAGCCTCTTGATAGTGAGCTGGAAACACTATAACTATGAAGAGTGCTGAAATTCAATATTAATATTCAATTTAACATCCTTAATTTGAATGTTAATTTGAATGTCTATCCCTTGCTTGCTGAGTGTGACGCTTGCCTTAAAATTTACGCCCCCCTCTTGTCAACACATTTCCAGGACCAAAATTGAATGGCTTTGAGATGGGCAGGTGGTATTAAAAGGTAAAAATTGAGAGTGCAAATGATTATATCACATTGTTCAATAACTAAATGATTGACAGATATTAATAAAATTCAGATTTTTTTTAATTATCTGATGCAGTTATTCATTTCTGTATCTCTCAAGATTATATTTTCAAGCTTTCCAGATTCTTGGAGCAATAGTTTCAATGGCCAAATCAGAAAGACACCAATTTCAACAATCAACAATATTTATGTTTATAGATGGGATATATAACCATCACTTCATAAGTTTATAGATAGGATATATAACCACCACTTCCGTTTTCTAATTCTAGTTATACATGATCAAAAATATTACAGAGAAGTGACAAAGTATTCCATCACAAACTATTGATTATGCAAATGCTCCTTTTTGTCGTCACGGGGCTATTTCATAGCCTGAAATGTTGCAGGGCAGAAGTTCCATCAAGGCCTTTTCCTTTGAAGTGGGTAAGATATTCTATCACAGTAGTTTCCGTGTATTTTGCTGGATTATCTTCTGATAACAACTGCTTGATGGGTCCATATAATCTTGAGTTTGGCTGAAAACTTGTTACGAAAAAGCATGCCACTGATACTCTGGGTCCTATACAATTCGCCAGCACTCTATGCTCCACGCTTATAAGATTGTCATTTGATATAAGCTGAAAAAAACAAGCAAACACAAAATAAATCGATCACTCGCATAGTTATGAAGCTGATTGTTGAGTTTGTAATGCACTTTCCATACTAATTTCTAATAAAAGAAATCTATCAGGCTTGCCTGTAACAGATCTCCAATGTTAACTACTCAAACCCCAGGAGTTGGAGGTACATTAATCCACTGATTTTCATGAAGAACTTGGAGGCCACCAACACGTTCTTGTACAAGCACCGTGAGGAAGTCCTTGTCAGCGTGCTTGCTAGCACGTAGAGTCAATTCTGGTTGTGGGCATGCCGGATAGTAAATTCTCCTAACATCTCGATGTAGTATTGGAATATCACAAATTCCTCATTAAAGTTTGACATCCCCAACAAGCTCAACACAAAATATACATAGAATCAAAATCAAATTAGGCATTAAGATTCTAAACACAGCTCTCATCGTACAACACTTAGCTCTGGTCCGACTAGTAACTATTCTAATACCATTTGTTAGAAACCCGCACTAAACTTTGACTCGATGTATCATGATTTTGTTCTACAAAAAGTATTTTATAAGTATTTTATAGTCTCAATGTATATATCGTAGCAGATCCTCATAATTTTTCGATGTGATTGAATTGTCACAAACTCCCTCTATTAAAAATTAATGTCCTTGTCAAGTCCAACACATAACACACAAAACCATAGAATCAAGTATTACACTAGACGTTAGGATTCTAAAGGTGGCTCCCATCATATAGCACTTAGCTCACTTCAACTAGTAACCATTTTGATATCATTTGTGGAGACCCACATCCAACATGTTAGGTATTGTCCATTTTTACATGAAGATCTCACAAAAGGTACCTCACAAATGTAGTTTTAAGTATCAATTTATATATTATAGCAGATCTTCAAAACATCTTGATGTGTCAAAAATTCCCTCGTTAAAACTTGAGGCTCTTATCAAGCCCAGCCTAAAGCACACATAGAACTAGTATTATATCAAATGTTGAGATTTTAGAGGTGGCTCCCACCTGTAGCACATAGCTTCCCCGGTATTCTTAAAGTACCTCCCACTACATATCACTTAGCTCTCTATCCGACTAGTAACCGCTTTAATATCATTTGTGGAAACCCACACCTCAAGGCACCTTATAAGTATGGATTTAAGTTTTAACTTATATATCTACAAAGTCTCACAATCTCATGATATATGATTAAGGTAGGTACATAAACGAACCGAACATGAATGAACGAACGTATATTCGTTATTTGTTCATTTATTCTTAGAGCTTTTTGGATTCAATTCATGTTTGAAAAGAAAATTTCTTTATTTGTTTAAATTCGGTTCATTTAAATGGCAAAATGTTTGTATTCAGTTTTGTTTAGCTTGATTAAGTTAAACGAACTCCTTCGTGAATATTAAACAAACATGTTCATAAATATATATGAGCATATTCATAAATAATAAACAAATCATAACCAAACAAATTTAAACAAACAGACCTTAAACGAATATAAACGAACATAAACAAAACCTAAAATAGGATTAGGTAAAAGATAAATATGTTATTTTGTTATTTTTATTTTTGTTACTGAATAATAAATGAAGATAAATGAACTTTAAATGAACCATAAATGAATAAGTTTTAAACGATCCTAAAATATGCTTATTTGCGAATATAAACAAACCAACCAGACCTATATTCATGTTAATTTGTTTAATAAACTAATGTAAAAATGCTATTAAAGATTATTTGTTAAGCTTAATATAGAAACTGAACATGTTCATGAATGATTTGCCAAAAGCTCTATTGGTTTATACCCCTAGATTAGGGTGTCACACACTATCCAAGTTACCTCTTGCTCCTTGCCTCCAGCAAGTCTGCCAAAAAAGTCACACACCACCACCCCAATTGCTCCTCTTTTAGTGTTTTTACAAAATAATCCATCACAGTTTATTTTAACCCACCCCATTTCTTCACATTTAACTTGTTCATTTTTCTTTTCTATATCATTCATTCTAGACTCCTTCAAGCTCAAATCTACAATCTCCCCTATTGCACTCTTCAACTTTGCAATGGTTCCAAATACACATAGATTTTTTCTCCCAAGAGTTACTTAAAATCTCCCTTTCCAAATATTCTGGCATGTCAAAGCCAGTAACATAATTTCCTTCATTTGTATTTCATTTTGGGAAAAAATTTCCAGTAACCATTTATCAAACCTCACCATGCTATCCATTTTAATTATTAACCCATTGCAAGCTGCAATCAAGACATCTTTTTATCCATTCACATAGTAAACAATGATTTCCATTGACTCTTCTCTACCTTACAAATAGGATAAAATGGATTATTAACCACTTTCTTCTTATACAAATTGTTGTATATGGCAATTGAATCAGTACAAAGTCTCCAAATGAAATGTTGGATCTTACTTTGAATACTTAACCCTCAAATCTCTCTTCTCAACTTGTGATCAGTACAGTAAAGTGATGATGATGGATCATTCAAACACATTGGCTTCATTTCTTCTTTTACTTTTATGTTTAGATTTTGTAGTGTAAATTCATTTCCTATCAATAAGCCAAATAATACGATCACTACCACCATGTTGACAAACTGGAATTTTTTGTAAATCCAGTTCCCTATAGTTCTTTTATCCATTTCTTTTCCTCTTTATTTATCTATTTTACCATTTTTTTTTTGGAAAATAAGTATCAACCATGGTAATTGTCACTAATAGTTCCCCTTTACATTCTGCAATCCAATGATCCTATCTTATTAGAATTGATTTTTTATCCTTAACTTACAAGGTAATTCTTCCCTTAAAAAAGTCCCTTCCATTCAACATGCCACTCCAGCCTTATAATGCATAAACACCTCTTTCAATACTAAACAGTGTGGAAAGAACAAACCTTTCAACACCTAGACCATAAAGCATCAGGCTCTTGTAATAACCACTAACATTATTTTGCTAAAAAGGCTACATTGAATAATTTCATACACTTAAATCCTATCCTATCCATTTCTTTTTATGTTGTTAATACTTCAACTTTTTCAATTTATCCTTCTTTCATCTTCTTTCTACCATTACCACTACCTTACCATAACATTACTCATATCAACATACAATTTTTATAGAAGTTTATAACAGGACATGCTATAGCTAAGAACAGCACAAGTTATTGCTTTCAAAAGAACCTGAAGGATCTAGACTAGAGGAAGAACACAAGAAAAAATAAAAAAACTAATTTGGTATTGCAACAAATTGCCTTTTATTTAACATAGGCTACATTTCATTCATTTATGAACTTCAAAATACAAAATATTGATTCAACAATTTCTAACTGCTTCATAAATTTATCTACCTAACAATTTGGATCACCAAAAACTTATTTATCATGCTTCCTAAAGTTTTACAAAATAAAAGAAAACAAAACGGCAAAACAAATTACTGTAATAGAAATGCCATACTAAGTTGCCTTAATTGCTAACAATCCTTCTTGGCATTTCAACTGAAAAACCAATACTTTTCCTTAATGTTTCAAACATTGCCTTTGGTAAGGCCTTAGTTAGAATATTTATAATTTGATCTTCTGACCTACAATGAATTAGCTTCACTTCATTCTTAGCATCAACTTTTTTAACAAAATGAAATGTTATCTTGTTGTGTTTTATTTTTCCATGGAACATAAGATTTTTTGCCTTAACCATCGTAAATTAATTATCAAATCTGATCTCAATTGCATAAGACTAAGTCAAATTTAAATCTACTAGCATAATTTTCTTAGCCAAATCACTTGATTCATAATGGCTACTATAGCAATGTACTCAGTTTTTGCTATTAATTGAGTTGTTATTTCTTGCTTTCTTAAGTATCTTGAAATGCTCTTTATATCATCACAAGACCTTACCTAGTCATTGCCAATATAGCATAACAGCTTTATATTTTTAGATTTTTTAAATTTAATCCCAAAATCAAGTGAACCTCTAATATATCTTAGCACTCTTTTGGTTGCCTAAACATGATTTTTGCTAAGACAATGTATAAATCTTGAGAAAAGATTGACAACAAATACTATGTCTGATTTTGTTGCTGTTAGGTACATCAAACAATCAATTATGCTTCTATAATTTCTTTTGTCAGCCTTATTTGACTTATCATCTTTGC